TTTATAGCAATTGGCAATTTATAAATGGGTTCTTGCCAATTTATACCAAGGTCCTGATCCCACCTTGGGTTACCAGTAAAGGATTCCGAGGCTGTTATACTTAAAATAGATGTCTTTTACTAAAAATATATATCTCATACAAACAATACTGATGCACTCACACATTCAATCAAGTTCCTAAGATTTAAAGTAGGAAATAAGCACAGTTGCATTAGCAGGTAGGGTTGATGATGTGCCTTGAAGCTTGCCTTGAAGCTTGGTTGTTCCAATGAAGAATGGATGGGAAGAAATGGAAAACAAAGGGAGTCCACATGACCAGAACCAGCCAGAGTGCATGGGTCTCTTGACTACAGATCAAGAGATCAATAGTAGAGGCAAGGGTTGGGGATAGCAAGGGGGACTCAAGAGGGGTAAAAGCAGACAGGGGTTGTCTTGGGGGGAATGCTAGCTAAGAGGAGCCGGGTGACTGGTTCTCTCCTTTTATAGGGGGTCCAAAAGATGGGTGGTAACTGTGCATCCCAAAAACAATACTATTGGTTGCAGGCAGGGAGGGAGGTTACCTAGGAGGGATGGTCAATATTGTAACCTAAAACCTTAATCGAAGGATTGGCATCTGAGCAGGTGTGAAATCCAGGTGTCAGGATGCTTCCTTGTAATGCTGATGAAATTGGCCAGTTCTTTTGATAACCAAGTGTCCATCTGGCAGGAAATTCCAGCTCAGGAACAAAGCAGTTACATATCGATGGGTGATACGTGACCACAAGCAGCTTTGCCATGGGGGCTGCTTCTTACCAAAGTTGTTGTTTAATTGATCACAATAATGGAGATTTGTGCTTCTTCACCAGGCTGGGCAACTGAGTTGCTGAAACCTTATTTACATGTAAGGTATGTGCAGGCTGAGCTATTCAAAGTCTTAGAAGATGATGCTGTTAAAGTGCTGCACTCCATTTGCCAGCAAATTTGGAAAACGCAACAGTGGCCACAGGATTGGAAAAGGTCAGTATACATTCCAATCCCAAAGAAGGGCAATGCCAAGGAATGTTCAAACTATTGCACAATTGCACTCATATCACATGCTAGCAAGGTCATGCTCAAGATCCCACAAGCTAGGCTTCAACAGTACGTGGATAGAGAACTGCCAGAAGTACAAGCTGGGTTTAGAAGAGGTTGAGGAACAAGAGATCAAATTGCCAAAATCCGCTGGATTATGGAGAAAGCAAGAGAGTACCAGAAAAACATCTACTTCTGCTTCATTGACTATGCTAAAGCTTTTGACTGTGTGGATCACAACAAACTATGGCAGGTCCTTAAAGAGATGGGAGTACCAGACCACCTCACATGTCTCTTGAGAAACCTGTATAAGGGCCAAGAAGCAACAGTTAGAACCGGATATGGAACAACTGATTGGTTCAGCATAGGAAAAGGAGTACAACAAGGATGTATATTGTCACCTTGCTTATTTAATATATATGCAGAGTACATCATGCGAAATGCTGGCCTGGATGAATCACAAGCGGGAATTAAGATTGCTGGGGAAAAGATCAACAACCTCAGATATGCAGATGATACCACTCTAATGGCTGAAAGTGAAGAGGATCTAAAGACATCTCCCTGCCAACAAAAGTCCACATGGTCAAAGCAATGGTATTTCCAGTAGTCATGTATGGCTGCGAGAGTTGGACTATAAGGAAGGCCGAGCGCCGAAGAATAGATTCTTTTGAACTATGGTGCTGGAGAAAACTCTTGAGAGTCCCTTGGACTGCAAAAAGATCAAATCAGTCAATCCTAAAAGAAATTAACCCTGACTGTTCCCTGGAAGGCCAGATAATGAAACTGAAGCTCAAATACTTTGCCCACCAAATGAGAAGGGAGCACTCACTGGAGAAGACCCTGATGCTGGGAAAGATTGAAGGTCAAAGAAGACGGGGATGGCAAAGGATGAGATGGTTAGACAGTGTCATCGATGCAACAAACATGAAATTGAGCCAACTTCAGAGGACGGCGGAAGACAGGAGGGCCTGGCGGGAGATGATCCATGGGGTCGCGAAGAGTCGGACTCGACTGTGCGACTGAACAACAACAAAAATGTGCAGGCACCCTCTATGTGTGTCATCACAACAGGTGACCTAAAGTGTACAGCTCTCTGAGCCCATATGTATGTGCACAGTCCATTGTGTAGCAATAAGCAGTCCATAAAACAAATATCAGGCTTGTTCCCTAACACAAAAACTATGCAAAACTGAATAATTCAAGAGGGCTTTTCTAAACTGGCAATAGAACTGCCACTGTCCTAAACGTTTCACAAAGTTACGTGCGCAAATCATTAGGGACTGTGGTCTGTAGTGCTGTGTATCGCCTGCTGTAAGCTGGATCCTACTGTGTGATGCTTCATCATTTTATGTGTCATGTTATCAGTTATGCTTTGCTTCAATTCTGTTTTCTAGAGTTCTGATTAGTTCTGCCACCCAAATCCTATTTCACTGTTTACTGAATGTCCCGTCCTGTTGATTGTATTGACTCACTCTGTGTAATCCACCTTGAATCCCATTGAGACAGGTGGACTACAAATAATGTAAATAAATAAAAACATAAAACTAAGAATGATCATAGGGTGAAAACATTATAGTGAGGAAAATATTACTGCCAGTTTCTTTTCTAAAGCAATTAATTACACATCTGCATTTTTAGATGTGAACACCACATATCTTGTCCTCACAATTAAATCCCCTTATATAACACTAAATTGTTACCAGGCTTAGTCTGGCCAGACTTTTCTCACAGACAACATCTTCTATCTAGACCAAGAAGGGATGGATTTGTGTCCCACCATCCCCTTCATGCATGTGATGAAAGAGGCAGCTCTTTGGTCCATGAAAGCTCAGTTGCAGCAATCGGTGGTGGTGGGGATATCTTCTTTCCTCTGCAGACTCGCAGAGCTATACTCCCTGAAGTTTTCATCCTAAACAAACGCTTTTGTAGAAATAATGTTGGCATAGAGATAAAGAACTCCCAAATCTTTTCTTCTCTCAAATTCTGGCCACCAAAGAAATGTCAACCTTGGAGGCAGGTCTCCATACCAAATATCTTTAACATCGTTTTACTCATAGATATGCGACAGGGGATTCTGAACCATAGATGCATGGGACTTGCTCTCAGCCTTGTACCAGTGTAACTGTAAATTGGTTCAATCAGCAGAGCTGTGGCAGTCTCAAAAGGGCAAAAGGGGAAGACCCTGCTGGTGGGGGCACAAAATTGGTTTTTCATTTTAAATACCTGTTTATCAATGTTTATACATTGTTTTATGTTGTTACCCACTGTGGTTTCTAAGATGCTTAGAAGAAAGGTGGGTATCTCAGTATTCTAAATAAATGAAACCTTAGTTGACCCTAGAGAAGGTGCAAAACCTCTTGAGGCTGCAACGGAGTTAGGTGGTACCTCTTGCTCCCTTTAGATTCAAGTCCAGTAGAAACCAGGAAGATTTCCGGGATGTAAGCTTGCAAGAATGAAAGCTCCCTTCATCAGATACGAGTTGGAATGGAGATCTCCTTAGATCCCAGTCAGAAGGTGGGAGGAATGCTGCAAAGAAGGAACTCAGGATGCAGAGGCACAATGTGCACTGTAATCCCTTCCGACGGGGATCTAAGGACTTGGAGATCTCCATTCCAACTGGTATCTGATGAAGGGAGCTTTGACTCTTGAATGCTTACACCCCGGAAATCTTGCTGGTCCCTGCAGTGCTACTGAACTTGACTCTTGCTGTTTTACTGCAGACCAGCACGCCTGCCCTCTGAAACTTGCTCCCTTTAGTGGGCAACTGTGTGCCACTCCATCAAGGCTCAAGAGTACAAACCTCTGAGGGCAGATTCAGAGAACTTTCTCTGCACCTTCCCCACAGCTGGACCATAGAAATATTATCTTAAGCCAACTGTCCATTTATTTTAATCCCAAATTTCACCAGACAGCTCTGATTTAAGTTTGACAATGTGCAGTGTTTGCAGTAGTCAGAATTCCCCTGCAGGGCTGCTGTCTGAAGAATGATGCTGTGCGGAGGAATCCAAAAAGATGTACCTTCGAGGGCTGAATGGACATGCAGTAGAATCCCCCACACAGTTGCTTGTAGAATTCATGCTCAGGAGAGTGTGCATAGGAGGAATGCACGAACCCCTAAACCCCTTTCTGCAGCGCATCCTTCCTCTCTGCCTTGGCACCTTGTCAGTTTTGTCTCCTGGGCCGCTAGGTGACCTCCAGCGGATAGTGAACGCCCTCGCCACCGGCACTTAAAAGTGGACAACATTGTGACATTTTCAAAGCCAGACTAAGCCCCAAAGACAAAGCCAGGTGGTGCCCCCAAAAGGCAGACTCCAACAAAAGCAAGTTCCCCGAGGAGGACGGCGCTGCCAAGAAAAGGCAACCGCCCTCTGGCCTCTGCCCCCACCCCCGGAGGGGCAGCCGCTCTCTTTGGCCCTCTCCTGGGCAGATGGGGTTGGGGGGCGCGGTGCCCGGCTCCCTTGGGGCCTCCTCGGCCAGTTCGAGCGGACAGGACGGAGGTCGGGAGGTCGGGGGGAGGAGGGAGCCTCCGGGTTCTCGGGCGCTGCGAGTCCTCCCTGGCGGCGGCGGCTGGAAGCGGCGGGCAGGGGGCGGACTGCGCGGCGGCCGCTGGCCAATGATGTGCGGGGCCGCTCTCGGCTGGCAGGCATTT